GAACCTGCCATATACACTTCATTGTGCGTCGAAGCCAACACTGCTGTACGCAGTTCAACCGTCGGTACAGCAACTCTCTTCTTGCTGTACAAGAGCGCTGACCTGACAGAGGCAAAATGCAGGCGAATTGTCTTTAGAAAAGTAATTCTTTTATTAGCCAACATATTTGACAGGTTAAAGCATTCGAGGATAGGGCAATCCTCCTATATAGTTCGAACTGAACAGTGCCATCGCTGGAGGTCATGGAGTTGAAATGCTTAAACCGGTGAACTTCCTGAGGTTGTACCTCCCTGTTCCACTCGTAGATCAGCTGTGCAAGATTTGTTACTCATACTTTAACTCGCATTTGTTAAGGAAGAGGCCGAGTTTCACAGCAGTGTCGCATATGGTAGCCATGAAGTGACAAAGCCCGACGTTTTCACTGCTATCCAGTACAATACCATCTGCGTACTCCAGCGCAGCAAGATATCTAACAGGTTATCGTGAACTGTGCCTTCTCCCTAGAATGTGACGCTCGTCTTTGCCAGGGTCAGCACTTTTTCGAAGAGGAAAGCCGAGAACAAAGTTGAATAACAAAGGTGAAGACACATCTCCTTGTTGAACTCCACAGTTAGTAGGGAACCATTTAGATAGTAGACATGATTCCTGTATTCATCTCTTCCAAAATAGAAACAACGAGCTTATGTATCCCATAGCATTTCAAGATCTTTCGCATCTTTGGAGGATATAATGAATGAAACGCAGCGTAAAATCGAAGAAACTGGCAAACCAAGGATCGTTGATTCTACTCAGACTGAAAATTTGGCCAGGGCAGAAGAACCCCAGCTGGAAGACTGCTCGATTTGGGCGAAGTTTCTAATCAACTGCCTACCATTGCATTTAGTAGAAAGTTTCCCAATAGTTTACAGCTGAGGAATATTAATTGAAACACTTGGTCACTCGACACCCTTTAAAAATAGTTACAATTACTCCGCGCTTCCATTTTCAAGGAAAACGTTTGTAGCACCACATAGAATGAAACGGAGTGTGAAGCTGGATTAAAATTGTTTTTCCTCCATATTTAATTAACTAAAGAGAAATCTGATCAATTCCGCAAACATTTTCCACTTTGAGGTATAGCAACGCTGTTTGAATTTTTAATTATGGGTTGATCTGTTGTAATCCTAGTGCTGGCAGAGAACTGACACACAGAAATGTCGGTCTTCGAACGCAGCCGTTGGAAATTTTCAGCCAATCCTTTGAGGTGTTCCTTATGACCTGCCAGTGGGACATCTTTAGCGTCTTGGATAAGAACAAACCTAGTCTCCTGCTTAGAGGACAACGGCCGTAACCCTTTGAACACTGTTTTCACGACATCGTTCACGGCCTGATTTTTCCCTCCATCCAAAGTTCCCTGTGCTACCTGCGGCTCTGGTTGGCCGTATGAACGAGATATCGATGAGTTGCTTTAAACGGTACAGTAAGGTGTGGCAAGTACTTTGCTTTGGCTGATTTCGCTGCACTCTAAGAGCCAGAGTCTCCTCCGTAATCCAGGGCCTATTCTTTTTTCTGGTTTCAATAATTTTTCTCGCCCAGAAAATGACGGTTTTTTGAAGTCGTTATGAGCTTTATCGACGGTGCCACTTCCTGACGTTGCACTGAGGGTGGCATTAAAACAA